AGCACATGCAGAGCACAGCGGGCGGCGCAAAAAGCTGTCTGCCGCTCCAAGCTCCCCTGGCCACACTTACCCTGCAGGCGGGGACAGCAACGAGGGGCTCAACCCTGCGTGCTGCCCACGCTGCTCCTGTGCACACAGGGGAAGTGTGACCTGGGCAGTGCAGAGTTTGCAGCAGCAAGCAGCTTCCCTGCGCAGCCCCTCCACACACTGCGCTTGAGAGAGCTCAGGGGAGGGCAGCAGGGCCGGGAGTGCAGTGCATGTGAGGGCAGCACATTGGGAAGCACTGCCGGTATGTGCTGTGGGAGGCAGCTAGGGAGCACTGCTGGTCTGGGGCTGGGAGGCAGCTAGGGAGCTGCCTCCCTGGAGGCCAGGGCCAGGAGGCAGCAGCTGTTTGCAGCCTCCCGGCTGCAGCTGGTCCAGGCTCTGGGTAGCTGCTGATAGCCACGGAGCCTGGGCTGGGGGACAGGGGCAGCAGGAGCACAAGCAGGGCTGGGGGGCACAAGCAGGGCATCCTACCATGTACCCCCGCCCTTGTTTTGTTTGTTTTTCTGGCATGCTGGCACTCTGGCACCTTCCAAGGTAGGCATTGTGGGGGTTTTCGGCACTCTGGCCAAAAAACGTAGCCTATACCTGGGTTAAATATTAGGAAAAACTCCCTCACTGGGAGAGTAGTAAAACACTGAAACAGGTTACCCAGAGAGGTTTGGAATCTCCGTCCCTAGAGGTTTAGAGACCCAGGTAGTCAAAGCCTTGGCTGGAATAATACAGGTTGGGATGGTCTGCTTTGAGCAAGGACTTGGACTAGATGACCTCCTGAGATCTCTTCCAACCCTAATTTTCTATGATTCTATACAGATTGCCAGTGTCGGGCCAGGCCTCTCTTGGTCTGCTATCTGGTACCATGTAAGCCAGTACAGCCTGTTCCATGGTTGAGCTGTTGGCAATTAAACCAGTGCTCCCATGTGGGCTTGCCTAAGTGAAGAGGGTATGTGGATACCCAGCAGGACGAGAAGCAAGACCTGTCAAAGGGTGGATGAGCTCCTTGTGAGCCAATAGCCACCAATACCTGGAGAGGAGATGGGTGCCACCCTGGAGAAGAAACACCAATCATGCAAAACAACTCAACTAGGGTTGTTAGAGCATCTAAGGTGCCCCACAATGGTTGCAGTGGCCTTGGGACTGACTTGATACAGGCTACAGACATAACAATGTACATGTATCCCGATACAGTAGTTTATAAGGTGATATTTAATACACTAGTGATACATGTTGTTTCTTCACCAATTTAAATAACTATTCACAAAGGATCTGATGAAAATTTAATTAAATTTGTTAAAATTAAAATGGCAAGAATTATTTTATACAAACTAAAAACACTTCCTACATATAACTAAAGAATTTCAGATTGAATTCTTTTCTACCCTGATTGAGTTTCTTTGTGAGGCAGGCTGACAGGTTAAGTTAAAACCAAAAAAACTGTGAAGTATACCTTAAGTATTGTCGATCCTGTCAAACAGCTATTAGCAACATTGCTTACTCAGTCACATTGAGGCCAACACTTTCTCAACTCATGCATATCAGCTTCTCCCCTTGTCTTGGGTAGTGTTACCCATTGCACAATTGGTTAAACTACTACCCATCCAACAAGCCTCTCATTAAGGCAGTTGGTAATTAGATTCCCAATCCCCAATGTTCAGAGATTGTTAAGAAAAAATATGCAATTTCAGACAAAGTTCATAACTTAAAGCTGAGCATAACAACCTCATTGTTACAGATTGAATTCTCAAGACATTCAAATGACATGAACTACAACCCAGAGTTTCCAAATATTGAGAAATACAATTACTGAATCTCCATGACTCCTTTAAAAAAGTTTGCCAATAAAATATTGACAAAAAGGATCCATTCTCCTCTTTATAACCACAAAAGGGGACTGGTCACAACTCTTTTACTATCATTTTCTCACTTCTCTAGTTAACCATCTCTTGCAGTCACTTCATACCTATGTATCATGGTTCAACAGCCAAGTGTTTAAAGAAGCAAGAAGTCCCAATTCTAATTATCACCCTCTCCACAGTAGCAGAACAATACAGATCTTAATGAGAAGATGGCTGAAATTCAGATAGCAATACGAGTGCTGCTTCTAGAGCTAATCACAGGATTCTAATTCAATTCCATGGGAACAGGTTTTATTTATTTTTGGCAGATTTAAAGAAATGAAGAATTACTAGCAACAGAGCCACTCAATTAGCCCATCCTGCTTACAGCTCCAAAGGAAGAATTCTCCATGTTAGAATTCTGCTCAAGGTTTCAAGCTTTTTGAAAAGACTTTATTCTGGACATCCAATAGTCATAGATTCTTATCTGCTGTACTCTTCTCTGAAAGTCTGCTTTGCTTAATAAATTAGCTCACAGGGACAATGTGGTATTGGGGGGGGGGGGTTGGTGCTAGGGCCAGTTCTCTGGCTCCCAGGAATTAACCAGGGAAATCTGGCTTTGGGGAATTTTCCCATGATAGCCACAACTTCAGAGGAGCCTTGCCTTGGCCAGCTTTGCAGCATTTAGAGTACATGGAGATAACCAGCTGCCTAAGGGTTATTAAAAACTGTCACACCAACCCTCATCCTGATTAGAACAAGACACTTTGATAAAAGAGCTGTTACCTACATTATAGTTAGGATTGCAAACTGGCAGAAAAGACTTGCTGTGAATGGCACATTTAAACTTGCTTAAGTTAATATTTTTAAAATTAACAGGGGGATAAGGACATGGAAGAACAAAAATGTGTTCATCTACTTAGTTAACACATACTGCAATAGGGCAAAATCCTAGTGAAGACCAACAGATTTTTGTATTCATGTGCATTAGACTTGGTTGTCTAACTTCTGAGTGGCTGGGGACCATGGACTCTACAGGTCCGCCCTCTGCAGGTTGTGCCCCCCTGACTCTTGAAGCACGGGCAGACAGAGGAAGCTGGGAGAAAGGAACAGGAGCAGCAGCAACAGCAGCAAGAGCAAAGGGGGGAGCAGTGCCCGAGCATGTTGCTACATGTTAGTTAACATAAGTCTTCACTTCCAAAACCCTTCATAATCCATTTCTTTCCCACCTTTGTTTCATTCGGTATTAAGGGGTCAGCTTCCACAATGCCAGCCTCCACTGGTCTGATTTTCCAACAGGCATCTTCATGCTTTCTCCCATGCTGCCCCTTACAGCTGGCAGGAGTCCCTGTAGACATCCGCAAAGCTGTCTCAGTACCCTTTTTTGGAATGCTTGCTTAAAACTCTTTTTTTGCAATACTGTAATATCTAAAAGGAACTTTACAAGCATTAGGCTATGGATGGTGTTACAGCTACCACCCGTATAAATGATGAATGTGGGGTGGATGAATAGGACTCAAGCCCCAGGTTCTGACTCAAGAAAGGGCACCAGAATGGCTGCTGCCCAGGCAGTCAGAGTAGAGTGGCGGCAGCAGGGGTTGAGGCAGCCTCACTCTGATGTCAGGGCAGATACCGCTGCTGGTGTATGTGCCAAGGAAACCAGCAGCTAGGGGGTTAACAGAGCCATTTTTGGGTATTGCTACCCAGCTGCCTTTCCACTGCCATATTTACCTTTTCTAATCATGCCTGGTGACACCATTCAATGGTAGGGCTCTGTTAACCCACTGGCTACTGTGCTACAAGAGCTCCGCCAGCAGCTGCGGCTCCAACACCTCATACAGCAGGTTTGGCCTAGGGTGCAAACCTGACCAGTTATGCCTCAGATGGCTACTGCCATCATAATGACCAACATCACCCCACTGTTCCCTGTGCTTGCCTGTCTGCTCTCATCCCTTATCTTGTACCTAGAATATAAGCTCTGTCTTCTGAATTTATACAGCACCCTCACTGATCCTGATCCATGACCAGGGTTCCTAGGCACAATGATAATACAAAACAACAAGTTAAGAACATATTTTTTCCTCTAACAAAGGGAATTTTGTTGACCGCACAAGCCTTTTGATCAATTGTAGCAGCAATAGGATTAGGTACAAATCAAAATTAATACTTATACCTTGCTACACAGCTACAGGCTTTTATGTTCCCAGACAACAGCTTTCATCCATAGTATCTTTTTCTCCCACAAAATTTAAGGGATCAAAATTCTCATCTCTTGTCTTTAAACCATACAGAATTTTTTCAGAGAATGTAGGTAGATTCAGAAAGGTACTTAATGCTTAAACTTAGGCCCATGCTTATCAAGGTTACAGCAAAACAGAACATCAACTTTCCCCACATTCATAAAAAACAATAAAGCCAAAGTTTGCCCTCTTCCTTCTGAACCAAGCAGCCAAGCCAGGTTCAGAAACTGTGGCAGGGACGCCTGAAAGGTAGGCAATTCCTTTAGGTCGCCAAATGACTCTGGCATAAAGAACGTGCCTGGCCTTTTGCTTCAGATTCCTTTGCCAATGCAGCAGTGTTCCCAGCAAAAATAAGTCACCGGAATTCTTTTCCACAGAAACTGTACTCTGAACAAGTACTGCAGTGCCTAGTCTAAAGTATATATGTAAAATATATTACTGCATTCTTGGCACTTCCTTTGTCTACTTTATATTCTCCTTTGGATTTCCTACCAGTTTTCACTTAAAATAAATACCTAAAAGAACATTTGTATGGAATAAAGGTGGTGTAAGCCTACCTTTAAGAGGTCAAAAGGCTTCTCAGCTTAAAGATTTTAATTGAAATTGACGATTAATACTTAAATGATAAATAATTCATCCTCTATTTGGAATTCATCAAAAGCCCCTTTTCACATCAGCCCAGCCAAAACTGGCAAACACTTGTATCACTGTATTTACTATGCCAAGATCTTCAAACTGGGTAGAAATTCAAGCAACTGGAAAAGAAACACTTTACAGAAGTACGATGTAACATATGTACTGAGATGCAAATGCTTTCTGCTAAATTTCTATTTCCTTACCTCTCTTTAAAAGCAGTCCTAATAAGCAGGCCTCAAATACTTACCATTGCTAAGCATACGTCTGGCAACTTCCCAGAGAACCAGTCCGAAAGCCCAGATGTCAACCCTTTTATAAGAATCAAAACAGTCTGCTTGGATGGTTTCGTCCAACACTTCTGGAGCCATATAACGCTTGGTACCCACACGAGGGTTGTTCCCCACATCCAACTGATTAGTGCTTTGGGAGTGCATAACTGCAAGACCTGAATCATAGAAAGCACTGTCGTTAAATTTGTTATTGTATTATGGGTATCTGTGAATTCAAACTACATACAAGGGATATATACACATTCCATAAACCAAAAAGTTACCTGAAAACAAGCAATCAACTAGGTGCAGCTGTGCAAAGAATAGCTGTGTCAGCTCCAAAGTTGCTACGTGACAGCAAAAAAACAATCAGTTTGACCATAGACTTAGACCAACTATCTCTTAAAAGATTACCTCCACCCATGTATATTGCACTGTTATAAAGCATTATCATTTCAAGGACTAAGTGTTTTGCAGCCACTGGATGTCATCGTTACTCTAGGCACGTATAACCAGAAGGCCAGGCATCTGTTACTTAAAAAAAACAATTCTACCGAGAGTTTATATGTATTTATGGAACTTTTGGGTAGGTGGATGCGTCTGAACTGTGGCTAAGGAAGAAGAAAAATACTGCATGACCAATCCAGGAGTTTAAAAAAAGGCCACACATGCACGCATGGTGAAAAGTAAACATCCTTAAAGTGATCTGAAATGAGTCAGCCAAAACCATTTTACCTGGTTAGCACATATCTCCAAATATTAAAGCAAGGAACATTATGTGAGAGACTAAATTATAGTAAATTTGGGAACACAAAGCACCAGTTTTCCCATGGTAAACAGAATCATTCCAAATTGAACAGCAATAGCTGTATGACATTACTGATAATAAAAACACTCTTCCCGACTTCCTCACCCAGTTCTGGAAGAGCAACACGTACCACTTAACAGGAGTTTATTTTAGCTACATCTTTATAAAGCTTCTACCACAGACCCCTGAAATGTTAAACTCCAGATCATTACTGGATTCCTGAGTCTTTTGTCAAAACAGTCTCTGCTTCACACTGCAAGAATTTGCAAATACTTTCCTGCAGTTTAAGTGCATTTCAAGTCAATTTGAAGTTGCACAGCAAGTTCTCTCTCTTTTATTACTGAAGAAGCTACTATAGCAAGTCTGTTCTTCAGCTAATGTCTCTCTCAGCCCCAGTAGTAGTACTGGATCCTTTCTGAATCCTGGAGGTAAACTTAACGGAGCAACTTTATCGGTAAACTTTGGGAACACAACAGTTTGAGGAATCTGATTAGCATTCTATCCAAACTGGGCAAAATGCAGGCTTCTCCTGTATAAGATCCAATAGACTGACAGGTCAAGAGTTTAAGGTTCAGGGACACAAGTCAATCTCATTCTACCCTACACGCTAAACAGTTTTGCAACCAGGTCAGGGGACAACGGTTTTGTAAACGGGTCCTCAACATGGTGGCATTTGTACTACTTTTTGACCTCTAGAGATATTGCACTGTTTTGAATGCATTTGTTTTTCACCTCAGGAAACATGGGTGCTAATCTGAGTTGGGGGAAACCAAGTGCTAGTCAGGGCATCAAATTACTACAGACTGACAAGGAATGTGTTAGGGGCAAGAAGGAAAGAAAAGTTTGAAAACTGTACCAGTTCCATCTCCAAAAACAAATATGAATTAAATAGGTTAACGTTGGGATCATTTGTACAATGGACTATTTTGTCTGGAAGTCATTAAACAGTGAGGAGACATAATATAACTACTTGGGTAGATTTGCTATTGGTTTCAGGAAAACTGGCATTTAGTGTCCCTTCAGCATGCACAAGCTTTGTTCTGCTCTGTAATAGAAAGCTATTGCATTACTATGAATCATTTTGGTTATGGATTTCTTTTGTCACTTCTATTAAGTATAAACTAGAATCTACCTGTCTTGAGTAACAATCCAATGGAGCTAACTTAATGTATAAGACTTGGCAATGTGCACATGTCAAAACAATTTTTTTGTCTAAAGAATTAAAGAACCTGCTCTTAATTTGATTCACTGGCATATGTAGTGCATTATATTACCTAAGTCACTGCTTTACTGACCATGTTCTGGAATAGGATTTGCGTAATGCACCTCTAAAGCTATCATAAGCTGTGCTGCATTCAGTTTTTATCTGACCACAATTTTCAGATTGTTAGCACCACTGCCTTAGAGTACTTGCTAAAAAGGTAGGCACAGAAAAACACTCACCTCGGAACAGGGAGAAAGGGAAAGGAAGTGTGTGTGTAGGGGAGGAGTGGGGGGAGAGAAGAGAGAAACCACAAAAGAATTAACAATAGGATGGGCACCCAGAAGGACTTAATTCATCCTAGATGCGCAATACCTTCTTTAGTTAATCTCCTTTAGAGAAAATGAATGAAGAAGAATGCCCTAAAAATAAATGCCTGAGATTTCATATAAATAGCCATTTTCTCACCATTATAAAATATATTACAGCAAAAAAAAGTAATTTCCATTCCACCTTGGTGTGAAAATACCAGCCTACCACCTGCAGTATATTTTGACATTTTCAGATAACCTAGTACAGAAAGCATGAACAGAGAACTACTGTGGTTATGAGTCAAAAGCAAAATAAATCAAATTATCCATTTTCTATTTGCTATTTCCTCAGAGGAGCCAACCCTGTGGAAATGCAGTTGTCATTTACTCACCAGCAACTGCATTTATGTTAGTCACTGTGGCAAGGTGAGGTCCCTGGCTAGCCACCGAGCTAGCTTCCCACCTGCCTCTGGGCATGCTGCCCACCAATCTCACTTGCCACACCTTGATGGTAATTAATAATGTTAATTAAGGTGGCAGGCAACCCACTGTACACCCTGATATTGGGGGGGGGGGGTCTATCCGCAGCTCTGTTCCATCCCTACACCGCAGCCCAAGCCTCGCAGATGGCATATCAGGCACTTAGCTCAACCGTTGCCTTCGCCCATTAGCTGTGGCCCCCAACCCTGGGGACCTTTGGCCTCCGTAAGCCCTGGGCCTGTCTCAGGCCCAGTCGGGACCCCGTGCTCCTTAGCTCTTCATGGGCGTCCGTCGCGGAGAGCCCCTAGCCCTTTTGACCCTTTGGTCCTGGCCCCAGCATTGACCAGTCGAGTGCCTCAGCGGGGTTTTCGCCTCCTGCCGGCACTTATAGGTTGGGGTCCCCCATTCCCAGCTCAGGTGCTCCTGGAAGCGTGCCTGGCCCTGCAGGGTCACTCCCCCAGCAGGCTCAGGCGCCTCCAGAAGCTTACCTGGCCTACCCTGCTCAGATGCTATATAGCCCACCCAAAGGTGAGGGCTGGGGTTAAGGCGCCCCTACTTGCCTTTCACCAGGGTGATCACTGGCCTGGCACTTCCTAGGGGCTCCCGCACCACTGAGAGCCCCACCAGGCCACCCACTCCATGCAGTTTTAAGTCATGCCCAGGACCAGGAGCCTCCAAACCGTCTCCTACAGCTCCCTCCTTACCTTCAGGATGTTCCAAGCAGCCTTGCAGCCAGGCTATGTTACTGCCTGGCCTGCCAGCAGCAAACTGCCCTGTTTATATAGGCAGCCATGGATCAAAAATGGCTGCCACAATGAAGCTCCTGTTGGCCACTTGGCTTGGCCCTTAAAGTGGCAGGCACCTACAGTGCTCTGCCAGTCACCAATCCTGACTGTTCTACATTTGGGTCACTAGGATATTGAGGTTTATGCAAAATATATCCTCCTAAGAAATATCCTTCCATGTGTTTGGAGTCCAGGTGATTATTTCATAATATTCAGTGTACAATATTAAAAGGACTGTTCTACCCTCTTTTTTCTTTTAGCTTCTTCTTGCTCAAATAGAAATACTCATCCCAAAAGATCTTGCATATTATTGAGCCACTTCGCTTTAATTCGTCTCAGCATTGGCATTTGCCTAATTTAAAATTCACACCAGTTATTCAGGAAGTGCTTTTTTCACTTCTATGAAGCATGATCAAACCTGCTGAGGTCAGCGAGTCAAGTCTGACATTGCAAGCAGCAATGTTTCACCAGCAGGATATTAAGTTGTTAAACAACAACAAAAAATACCTTGGGGCAAGAAGTACATAAATATATTATTCTAAGTAAGATCCCAGCCCAGACTAACTCCCACTACTCCAGAGATGGATAAAACTCTAAAGTATTGTTTGCTCTTGAATTTCAAAAGGAAGCACTCAACAAATGACAAAAAAGGAAGAAAAAAAAAAAAGAAGAAACCCTCATGATCCAACTGATTTTTTTAAAAATGTTATAATATTCCACCACATTTTCTGAACTAGACAGTATTTATGAAATTAAAAGTTTTATTTACTGATGAAGACTAACTACAGAATTAATCCAACATTGAAGATGCTTGCAAAAATCAGAAGTGATGCTAGACTTATTCACCTGGAACAGATTACTTTCTAACTTCTACATGCCCTCTAGTGGCAGTCATCATTTTCAAGGCTATTCCAAAACACAGATTTAGGCAATTTTAAGGGACATGCATTACATAAGGAACATGCAGTTTGTGCTGTTAGCACACTAAAACTCACCTAAATCTGCTATGCAGCATTGTCCATTTTTCTTAACAAGGATGTTTTTGCTCTTCAAGTCCCGATGGGAAATAGCAGGCTTCCCTTGTGTCCCAAATATCTCTATGTGCAAATGTGCAAGACCACTGGCTATGGACAGAACTATTCGTAGGCAGCTGACAGTATCAAGCGTTGTAAGCTGTAGATAGTCGTACAAAGACCCCATTTCGTGATAGTGTGTAATTAACCACAACTGGGTGCTGGAGTTTCTGGAGGTCATATCTGAAGCAATAAAACCTGAAAAGACAACATTAGATTTCAAAGCTTCCAAGTCTAAATGACCAAAATGTCATTTACAGTGTTCTTGTCATTTAAAATCAGAATTGAAACAGTCTTCTGCTGTAATGTCACTTTGGAAAAAAATAATATAAAAGGAAAAAGTCTTAAATATATTTTTGTGATTAAGTGAATTATATCAGTAAAGTTTTATTTGTAGGCCCCCAAAAAAGGACATGCAAATAAGCTTTCTAAGTTGGTCTAATAAAAGATATCAAATTCACCCAAGGAACCTTGTAAGCTCTCTAAGAACATTCACCTTCTCAAAGTTTAGTTGCGACACTACTGCTACATTTTTATGGTTGTTACCAAATAATGTTTGTTTTCAAGAGGAATTACAATAAATATAACGTTTGTAGCTTTGATTCCTAATAATTTGAACAAACCGATTCAGCATTTGTCTGCTACAATAATCAAAACCAGATCAAATATTATTTAGATTTCCAAAATTAAATAAGCATCACTCCATAGCTCTAATCACCCTGAACACAATTATAATCATTTCATTGGTACATACCTCTTAATCTGACTCTTTAACGAAAAACAATCAAAGTACCAATCAAGCAGATAGCAACCTGCACTGCACTCCACTATAAAAGCTTATCATCTACTCCAGGGGCGGGCAATTATTTTGAGTGGAGGGCCGCTGACCCAGTTTTGTCTTGGGACCAATGTTCCAGGGCCAGCACCAGTGGGGCCCAGAGCAGGGCGCAGGCTGGCAGGGGTCCATGGAGCTGGGCTGGGCTGCACCAGCAGGGAGGGGGGAGCTGGCCCGGCTCCATAGAGTCCCTCCCAGCTGGAACCCCGTGCTCCTGTCACCTCTCTCTGGGCCCCACCGGCACTGGCCCTGGGACACCAGTGCGGGCCCCATGCTCCTACTGGCTTCCTGCCCGCTCACACCCAGTGCCCCCCCAGCCCCGCGGTACAGGCGGAGGGCAGAGCACAGCCCCGACCCTCTGTTCACCAGCAGGGAAGAAACTGGTGCTGAGCGTGGGGAAAAGTGGCCCCTCACTCACCCCATGGCCAGCGCCCCATGCTATAGGCACTTGCAGGCTGTGCGGGGCTGTCCGGAGCAGGCACAGGCAGCTCCAAGCTGGTTGCAAGAGGCTGCAGCACGGGGGGCTGGCCCTTGGGCAGGG